TTTCAAATAAATATTTTAGAGGAACTGCATTTTTCGGAAATTTTTTTCTGTACTTTTCAGGAAAACTTTGTATTTCTAATATCACCCTCCCCTTGCTCCAGCACACGTTTCCGTGAAACTGGGGCATATATCACTAGAACATACTCTTCTCCTCCCCGCCTGCCTGGATATCACTTTCGAAACCAGTGGAGTCGCGGAACTATTAATAGGATTCATAAATATTGCATAGGGAATCGGCAAAGGCGAGTGATTTAAGCGACTGCACGGCGCTCTGCGACGGCACTCGGAGCCACGCCATCCCTTAACCTACAAAAAGCACGAGACAGACATTGACACAACGGGCAGACATTGAAATAACGGGCCAGACATTGGAACAACTCCCGGGGCCCGAGCCCCATGCACGTGTCCCGCTCTCACCTCAGTCGACTTTTTTTCGCAGACGATTCGCTGGTTCCCGCTGTTTTGCGCTCGTGTTATGAGGCTTTCGTTCGTGGTTTACCGAAACCGGTCGGTCTGCTTTTCGGACGTTTTGGTGCGTGTGTTGTTGAGATAGAAACTTGGATTGTTCGTTTGGACTTGTTGTGGTGCATGAGGTTCGTATAAATAACTTTCTGTGAATTGAAAAACCTTGCAGGCCGGTGAACAATAACGATTTAACTAGTATTTTATCTTCAATTAATTCTTACAAGGTAGTAAAGGAACCACTACCCTGAACACAAAAAAAACATGAAAAAGAACAAAGGCATTAGGAATCTACTTCAATCCAAGTTATGAAGAAAATTACAGGTCTGCTTAACTTGACACACCAGGTAATTCAATTTGCGACGTTCGAGAATTCTTACCACAATTTACCCTTTGAAAGGATAGCATGAGTATACCAGAATAACATAAGATTGTTGACAAAGTGGCATATTGATGTCAATATAATACTAAAAGCCGTGAATGGTAATTGAAAATTGCAATGCTCATAAAAAAGTATTCCATCGATGAATGAGACGTCTGCATCACAAGTAGCTCGCCATGAGAAATTTGTAATCAAATTTTCGGGAAAGCGAGTATGAGTGATCATGTTCAGATAATAATCTCCCTCCGGATTATGTTGCGAATAGGTACAACATACTGGAAGACAATTAATTTGAGCTTGAAATTTCGCCGCTATTTTATAAAAAGTAATATTAATTATTATTAAGTATTATTAATTATTATTAATTAATTTTTTTTAATAAAATGAGCATTTGCAATATCTACCTCATACGTGAAAGTCATTCGTTTTCGGCAACAAGAAGATGTCGTAAAGCTTCTAAGTCGTTTTGAACTTCGAGAATTACTAATGTGCACATCACTTTTCCATGCGTGGTGATGGTTGTGAGCATAATTCTTTAAGCAAATGGTGGCTACTCAATTACTTATTGTACCATTATACACCGGGTCAAATGAAAAGGAAGAGGCCTTTTTGTTAATATGTGCGCATCGCTTACATTGAAGCGAAAAATGTGTGGAAAAATGATTCAAATCTGCCTCTGAGAAATTATGCTTTTTTGTTCTATGACATTTTGAATACAAACTCTTTTATTTTGACGACCAAATTCGATCGAGATAATACTCGCGCCCAGCATATGGGACTTGAAATGTCAATTTGGTGCTCGCATGATAACTATTCTCAGTTTTGATTTGTGCCAGATACAGCGGTTTTTCTCAATTCGGCAGCGAAAAACAATACGGTTCATAATACAAAATCTGAAGGTATGTGCTGTAAGGCGCGTGATACCACCATTCGACCTTCTAGGAGCTCGGTGTGCCTATTCAATTCATTGAAGGCGTTTTATTCGCCGTCGCTACGCGTGAACCTCCGATGAACTAGCATGCTAAAAAGGTAGATTCTCATTTGAAACGGTTTCAATGACCTTTTTGCATAAGATGTCTAATGCGATGCCACTCTGCGTGAGTGGGTAGTACTAAATCTACACGTTGTCAAATTTTCTGGAAGAAATTATGCATATCTTGGAAAACTAATGTTTTTAATTTTTAAACTTTACGGAGGATAATTTTAAGGAAAATATTTAAATTAAGGAATCATATCTGATTTGTATTCTAACTGCAAAAAATCACTCTAACAGACGTGCTAAGAAAAAACAACGAATGAACATTCAACAGTTGCCAAATTCCCTCCAATAAATTGTTCATTTTTTAGGAAGGCTTATCATATTTTTCGTTATACACTATTGATTCTATTTCTGATTAGTTTGGCCATCTCCAGGCTTCATATGGCTGTCAATGATGCAGAAACATATTAACCGTTGCATGCAGATGCTTTAAAAAGACGGAAAACGATGTTGCTTTCGACTGTATCGCCATGAAATTTACTGAAATTACATTGTTAGGTAGCCATAGTTACTCGGTTTTGAGTCTAACTTTGTACATTAAATCCGAAGAAATATTCTCAACTTTAACGTTTATTGTTGGCAATGTTAGCAGCAAGGAAAGGACAGCAGGTTACACCCGTCGAAGGTCGGCAAAAAACCCCTCCTATCTAGAGTCGCCGCCATTTTTCTGGTGCCTTTGGGTCTCCATGAGACTTAGTGTCATAGTGTATCATGCATTTCTCCATTATGCTTATTCTTTCTTCTTGACAAGAGCAAATTGAAAATGATACATACGAACGTTTATGGAAACTCCAAGGCACCAGAAAAATGGCGGCGACTCTAGATAGGAGGGGTTTTTTGCAGCCCTTAATTCGCACCGGGGTAATTTCGCACCGTGCAACCCATGAAAAAGTACTCAACTTTTTGTCATCCACTCGAGTGTCTTTCGGCACTGGCTCCAGTCGTCGCTCCTCTGACGCAAGGGCGTATCTCTGTCTCCGCATGAGCTCTAGAAAGCATAGAGTTAAATTGAGCAGAGGTCTCAAGTGGAAATTGAGATACGCCCTTGCGTCAGAGGGACAAGGACGTAGTGTTAGAACTTCTTTAGAGGCAAGGATTACTTGCTACTTTCACATATGTACAAGTCGCTTTCACAGCCCCGTAGTGGATCGAGTGGCTGCAGGACATTTTGTCAACGATTTTTTGTCCGCGCACCTTTTTGTCCAGTAGTTTACGACCACATGTGAAATAAGCAACAGTGGCTTGGTCCAAGCGTTATATTTTAGTCGTTATGTAAAATTATATTGATAATATAGAAATGAGAAATTGAGAGAGGAGGAGGTGTTGTTATGGTTGCTTATTTTCTAATGAAATGTTATTACTTTCTCCTTTTGAATCATCTTTTTAAATTGTCATGGGTAATTATTTGGTTTTATTTCTTTCCTTAAAATATTGAATGTACAATATACCTTATATATGTATAGGTACTTTTTTGTATTTTTTTAATTTTTTCTTCACGAAATTATTACTTCATTTTGGAACCATTCATATTTTTAAAATGTGACAAATATTTGTAAAACCTTTTCCAAGCGACATTAATCTCAATGAGCCGCAGTTATGCCGACAGAAACTGCAAAAATGAATAAAAGAGGAAAAAAACCAAGAAGTACGCAATCTTTAGTTTTAACCCATTTGTACATCGATCTTTTAGAGTCAAATACGTCAACTGTTGAGCGTTTGGTTGCGCGTACACCTCGCTGCAGCACAATAAAAGCACAAAATGTAAAAGAAAAAATTAAAGTGCTTTGGAAATCATTTTTGACACGGAACCACAAATATTTAAAAAACACACATTATATTATTATTCTCCTTTGATAAATTGATACATATTTTTTTACCATCAATTTAAATGAGAATAATCAATGCAGAGGGTGCTAACATTTCAAAATCATGAGTTAAAAAACGCTAAACATTAAAGCCTGACAGAGCGGAGCGGCGCGTGCTGCCAGCGCGAGAGGCTCACTGGCGCCTACAAACCTAAGTGGATACTTCAAGCATTGCGCAATGC